AAATACACGGAGCGATTGGGTAGAGTAGGTGTCTTCCTTCTTCCAGGTTGGGATTCAAAAGATTACAACTTTCCATCTTGCTCCCAGAACCAGCCTATTCATCGTCCACCATACTCATCTGTACTTAACTTGTTTATTGCAGTGAAGTTCGTTTCGCTGCAAGCTGATGACGGTTATCGTGCGTGATCTTGATTCATTTTATCTCCATCCTCTTCATCTCCGTCAGTGCGACCTGGTGTGAAGTATCGGGACATGGGAGATGTGATAACCAAACAGGCCAGTTTGGATGGTTTCTCTGTAGTGCGTACCTATTCTGGCCACGGAGTTCATCACCTTTTTCACGGTCCACCGAATGTTCCACACTATGCACGTAAGTCCCATTCCAGGTCTCGATTCTGTTCCATTCATGTGGATAACCTTTTGGTCACAGCGAGTTTTCGTCCATACCTCTTATATTCTCTGATAAATACTTGAATCCTTCAAAAAAAAATTTGAGGTGCGATCCTCGAGCCGGAGACTTCACGTATCCAAAACCTGACCGGAAAGTCAGCGATGCTCTTTGTAGGAATAACTCGTCACCGGGGTCCAACTTCCAGTCATTCTCGAGTTCTGCATCCTTGAGGCACGATTCATATATTCAGGAGGCCAAATACACCATACCATTCGGTTGAATCAGTGACCAGGAATTCTCAGAGCTAGCTAGTACTCTTCTCCCCGAGATGTTTCAAATCAGGCCAAAGTCAAAGTTTTGTTATGGGAAATACTTACCAGCGGTTGCTTTTCTAGTCCCATAGGATCTGGCACAGATGAATCGATTCACAGATCATAGACAATAGACGAATATCACAATTTATCCTGGTTGTTTCGTGCACTGCTACAGATGTTGGAATTCAAGACTTGTCAAAACTTCATCCAGTTTGTGCTTGAAGGAATCAAATGTGGGCGCAGAAACAACGTGTGGTGGTAGATAATTACAAGTAGTGCACACTCTTAGGGCGAATGAATGACGCCGGCAATTTTGGAGCACTAATTTGAATGAGTACCCCCTCAGGTTAGTATGGAGCAACAAGGCAAAGAATGAACGGCGTGGGTGATCTGAGTCTTGCATTATTTGATACACCAAGATCAAGTCCCCTCGAATGCAGCGATACTGTGTGGAAAACAGTTGCAGTGATTGCTGTCTTTCGGCGTAACTCTTGGAATGCAGTCCCTTGACCATTTTGGTGCCATTCTTTGTGGATGTTTCAGAATCTTCCGATCGCGTTGCAGCCCTGGATTCCACGCTTGAATCGCATACTCCAATTGGGGGACGAATATATGTTGATAACAACCGTGGAAACAGCGTGGATTCAAATTTGCCAGATACTCGCCGTAGCGATCTAGAGTACGCAGACAACATTGTGCTACTAAGTGAAGATCCAGGTAAGTTGCAAGCTTTTCTCGATAGTTTGAGTGCTAGTGTAGCGATATT